AAATTTTTCGAATTTTTTTAACATATTGTGCCGCCAAAAGTTAAGCCCACGTTTTTTTTATGCGCATAGAAAAATTTTCATTTCTAGTGATATTTGAAAGCCAAAAAGCCAAAAATCTCCGTGGATATACGATTCACCCAAACCAAAACAGATACCGCCTGGTCTAAAATCAGTTAATTAAGAAAAAGTTTGTTTGAAATTATTGAAGATGATTTTCCACTATTAGCAAGAAATAATTATTATTACATGCATGATGACGCTTCACCACATTTTACTCGAGTATGCAGAGAATGGCTTCATGAAAATTTTCCTGAGCGATGGATTAATCGAGATACAGATGCTCCAATTCACTGGCCTCAAAAGTCACCAGACCGTAATCCCCTTGATTCTGTAGCTTGCAGCTATGCCAAACAAAAAGTATATAAAACAGAAATAAATTCAGCAGAACATCTGAGACAAAAAATTGTTGATGTTTTCAACCATCTTAAAGGTGATTCAGAACCTTTGAAAACCATTACAAAAAAGAATTCGTTTTTGGGACATTTCGGACACTTATTCTGATTTTATTTTCCTTAAATTTTAATTTTCTGTTAGTAATAATTAGTTATTCTTGTTGTTTTTCTTTTCTTCAATTGTATTCTGTATATGTTAAACTTTTCTAGAAATAAACTATTACTTTTTATTATTAAAAGAATAACTTTGATTTTGAGTTTTATTAATGAAACTAATAGTAATAGTAACTAGGTGCCAAAGCCTGTTTGAAATAAAAATCAACAATTTGGGATACTAGCTGTTTGACTTTGGCGCACTATGCCTGGTTTTTCTCGAAAACGGACAAATTTTTGTACTTCTTACAAGAGCATCTTTTTTGTTTAGAATAAAATTTGTCATAACAGCAAGTGACAAAAGGTACAAAAAGATTAACCTCAAAAAAGTTGGGACCTAAAATGTTCCCGCGGAGTACTGAACTGAATATGATATAGTGAAAAATTAATAACTCCAGAGCATTTAGCATCCCTAGAAAGCCCACATAACAAAATTTCAGTTCATTCGGTTGAATTTTGTGGAATTGGAACTAGATTCTAAAAAATTATTTTCAACGCCCTGTATCTTGAAAACGGATGGTTCATAGGAATAAATTGTAATAATTTCTGAAATTCTATCAGACCCTGAATTTATGCTAGTGTTTTTCAGAACACCCTGTATACAGGGTGTTTCATTTCCGGTGTGCTAAACGAAAACAGATGATAGAGAAAGTGATTTTGAGCAACAAATTTCATATCGATATGTGTCCGAAAAGGCCCTCCTGTGGCGCACTATGTATCATTTTTTTTGTTTGTACAATAATCAAATATCTTGACTCAGAGAGTAGATAAAAATATGAGCCTGGTTGCAAATGGAAGCTGAATGGATGTAGAATATGGGAAAAATATGACAGACGATTTTTTTTCTATATGACCTTCGAATGACTAGGCAAAGTCTATGCAACCCAAAAATTTTATGGATTTTTCTAATTATATCGGTCCTAATTCTCTTAAAATTTATCTATAAGTCACTGCTTACCTTCTACAGTGTGTTTATTTGACATTTATTTGTAAAATAAAAAACAGAAACCCAGGTTGATAATTAATTTTTAATTTGTGAATAATTTTCTTGCTTGACAGTGTCAAAAACTTGAAAATAATACCGACTTTGGAGAGACTTTGCTAGCGTTAGAAAAATGATAGAAAATTTTTGACGCCAGATTTGGAATTGCCGTGCCAAATTGTGCAAAATCGTGTGCATTGGAATAAATTTTAAGAGAATTAGGACCGATATAATTAGAAAAATCCATAAAATTTTTGGGTTGCATAGACTTTGCCTAGTCATTCGAAGGT